GTGTATTTCTCCAGCATTGCAGCATTTGCACTTCCCTTAACGCTCAAAGAAAGTCAGAGCAAGTGACTTTGTATCAGGTTTACTGTGAGCACGCAGTTTGCCAAACTTTCAATTTGATCATCCTGCAGCAACTCCATCAGGTTGACATTTGTCATGTGAATCGTTCTGCACAATTGTAAGTGAGTGCTGACTTGCCGTTGTTGAGAATTGAAATCCATTTTTAATTGCATGATGGGAGGCATTTCTGTAACTGGCCTGTGACTCGGGGAAGAAGTTTTGACGTACGTAGTGTCAACATGACCTTCCACCCTTTCCCACTGCTAGTCTGTTCATGTGTCATGGCGAATGGAGCTGTGAACTGAAGAGGTGGAACGCTGATAGAGTGTTCTTCCCTGAACCTCAAAGGCATTATCTTCAGTTACATCCTCTTCAACTTTTGCTTTCACTTACTTGTGTTTGTATAAGACAGCAGCTGTGATTGTCTCTCTCCCCTGTTTCTCTGAAACCACTGCAATTGAGGGGTAGTGGAAAATGACATCGAGCCATACAGCATGGAAACAGACCCTTCGGTCCAACCAGTCCATACTGACTGCAATCTCAACCTGCCTGTCCTTGGCCCTTATCTCTCCAACCATTTCTTATTCATTTACTTACCTAAATGCCTTTTAAATATTGTAACTGTACCTGCATCTAACGCTTCCTCTGGAAGTTCATTCCACACACGAACCACTCTGTTTTTAAAAAATAAAATTGCCCCTCATGTCTGTCTTAACTCTTTTTCCCTCTCCCCTTAAAATGTACCACTAGTCTTGAAAACCCTCAGCCTACGGTTGAAACAACCTTTGCCATTCATCTTATCTGTGCCCCTCATTTTCTATAAGTCACCTCTCAACCTCCTACACTCCATGATAAAAGTCCCAGCCTATCCAGCCTCTCCTTATAACTCAAACCCTCCATTCTCAGCAACATCCTGGTAAGTCTTTTCTGAACCCTCTTCAGCTTAATAATATCCTTCCTATAACGGGAGAGCAGAACTGGACTCAGTACTCCAGAAGAGGTCTCACTAATGGCCTGTACAACCTCAACATAACATCCCAAGTCCTTTACTCAAAGGTCTGAGCAATGAAGTCAAGCGTGCTAAATGCCTTCTTAATCATCCTTTCTACATGTGATGCAAACTTCAAAGAATTGTCTACCTGAACCTCTAGGTCTCTCGTTCTACAACACCACCTAAGGCCCACTTTTAATTGTATAAGTCTTGTCTTTGTTTCTTTTACCAAAATGCAATCTGTCGCGTTTATTGAAATTAAACTCCATTTGCCACTCCACAGTCCATTGACTCATTTGACATTCAAAGGAAAACAAAGTTTAAAGGTGGGAAACTCCTTTTAAATCAAAGTGCTTTTTTGAAATATATAGATTCAGAATGTGGGCTTTACTGGCTGGGCCAGCATTTATCGCCCACTCCTAATTGCCCAAAGTGTGGTTAAGAGGCAACAATATTGCTATGGGAGTGGAGTCACGTCAGTTGTAATGACAACAGGTTTCCCTTCCCTAAAGGAAACCCGGCAGATTATTACAACCATCAACGGTTGTTGCATTGGCACCATTAAACTAGCGTTTTGATTCCAGCTTTTATTAAATTCCATTGTCACCGTCTGCCCCGAGGGGGTGCACACACACATCCCTAGAATGTTAGCCTGTGGTTCTGGATTATTAATCCAGTGATATTGTCACCAGGACAAAAAAAAAAGAAAAATCTGGAACCTGTGGAGATAGTGAGGAAAATGGTTAAAAATCTATGCAATCGTAGTAACTAGGAGTAGACCGTTAACTTCCTGAGCCTACTCTGACATTCATTGAGATCATGGCTAATCTGATAACTCCACATTCCTGCCTAACCCTCAATAACCTTTCACTCCCTTTGTTATCAAATATATATTTATCACTGTCTTAAAAGATAACTTCTTCCACTGTCTTTTGATGAAGGAAACCAGCTGGAAACAGATTGATGACCTCACACTATGCTTACCATTAACATGACATTTGATGCATTCGCTTTGAAAATAAGATTAGCCCAAAGCCCTTTTTCAGGGATACAAAGGCAAAATGCTGCAGGGGCCAGAAACCTGAAAAAAGACCAGAAAATGCTGGGGATACTGTACCTAACAGATGGAGGAACGTCTGTGGAAAGTAAACCGGTGTTATAGGTCAATGGTAGCCCCTTTTCAGAACTGGGTTTGAAACGTTAACTTTGTTTCCGTCTTCTCAGATGCTGCCAGATCTGCCGAGTTTCTCCAGCAATTTCTGTTTTCTCTTTGTTTGGATCCAGCAGCAGCAATTCTTTTTTCAGTTATAATCGTAGAGTCATACAGCACAGAAACAGACTCTTTGGTTCTACATGTTTGTGCTGACTAAGTTTCCCAAACTAAACCAGTCCCACTCGTCTGTGCTTGGGCCAAATTCCTCGAAACCTTTCCTATTCATGTACCCATCCAAATGTCTTTTAACTGTTGTAACTGTACCTGCATCTACCATTTCCTCTGGCAGCTCATCCCATATATAACCCACTCTCTGTGAAAAAGTTGCCTTCTCAAACCCTTTTTAAACCTTTCTCGTCTCACCTTAAAATTATTCTCTCTCGTTTTGAACTCCCCTATCCTATTGAAAAGACCTTTGCTACTCACCTTATCTATGCCTCTCATGATTTTATAAACCTCTGTAAAGTCATCCCTCAACCTCCCGCACTCTAGTGAAAAAAGTCCCACCTCTTCCAACCTCTCCTTATAACTCAAACCCTCCTCTCCCAGTAACATCCTGGTAAATCTTTTATGCATTATCTTCAATTTAGTAATATCCTTCCTGTGGCAGGGTGACCATAACTGTACACAGTACTCCAAAGGCCTTGTCCCCGCTCCTATACTCAATGGTCTTAGCAATGAAGGCAAGCGTGCCAGATACAGCCTTTACCACTCTATCTACTATGATGCAACTGTCAATGAATTATGTACCTGAATCCCTATGTCTCTCTGTTCTACAACACTCCCCAGGGCCCTATTATCATTATCTGTGTAAGTCCTGCCCTTGTTCGTCTTACCAAAATGCAACACCTTGCATATATCTAAATTCAACTTCGTCTGCCACACCTCAACACGTTGGCCCAATTGATCAAGATTCCCTTTGTAGTCCTAGACAACCTTCCTCACTGTCTACTGTGCCACCAATCTTGGAGTCATTTTACTAACCATGCTTCCTATACTCTTATTCAAGTCATGATCCCTGAGGAACACTGATGGTCATAGGCCTCCAGGCTGCAAAACAGCCCTCCAACAACAGCCTCTGTCTCTGGTAAGCTCCACCAGCATCTGATGTGATCTAAATTGACGAACCAGTCTTCTCTCTTTACTCGTTTGTTTCTTTCCTCTTCCTTTCTCTTTTATTTTACTCACCTTGTTGGAGAGCTTGGTCGTGGCTACTGCACTGGCGGCGGGCGGACCTAGCGCGGACTTTCGTCAGCCGCGTCAGAGGCAACTTTGTGTTCTTGGGGCTTCTCTCCATCATTGAGGCTGTCCCAGTGCAGGTTCATGGCTGCCGTGGAGCAGTTTGGAGTTCCTGGCAGCTTCTGCGACCAGCGCAGATTCATGGTAGTAGCGTCTGAGGCGCGTTTACGCCCAAGACCTGGTGGCATCATCAGTGAGGTGGGTCCGAAGCAGACTCGTGGTGGCAGTGGAAGGTTCGCGTTTGGGTCAGTATGATGCCAGGCAGCATTGGTGGCATCTGCAGTGACATGGACTGGTAGCACCGAGGGTGACAGTGGAGGTGAGATAGTGCCAAAGAGAGGCGCCTTTTGTTCCAGTGGCGGCATGGTGAAGAGTCATAGAGATGTACAGCCCAGACCAACCCGTCCATATTGACCAGATATCCGAAATTAATCTAATCCCATTTGCCAGCATTTGGCCCATGTCCCTCTAAATCCTTCCTATTCATGTACCCATCCAGATGCCTTTTAAATGTTGTAATTGTACCAGCCTCTACCATTTCCTCTGGCATCTCATTCCATACACACACCACCCTCTGTGTGAAAAAGTTGCCCCTCAGGTCCCTTTTAAATCTTTCCCCTCCCAACTTAAACCTATGCTCCTCTAATTTTGGACTTCCCTACCCTTGAGAAAAGACTTTGTCTATTCACCCTATCCATGCCCCTCATGATTTTATAAACTTCTATAAGGCCACCCCTCAGGCTCCGACACTCCAGGGAAAATAGCCCCAGCCTATTCAGCCTCTCCCTGTAGCTCAAACCCTCCAACCCTGGCTACATCCTTGTAAATCTTTTTTGAACCCTTTCAAATTTTGCAACATCCTTCCTATAGCAGGGAGACCAGAACTGCACGCAGTATTCCAAAAGTGGCCTAATCAGTATCCTGAACAGCCACAACATGACCCTCTCAACTCCTATACTCAATGCACTGACCAATAAAGGGATGCATACCAAATGCCTTCTTCACCACCCTGTATATCTGCGACTCCACTTTCAATGATCCTAAATGAATCTCGTCCCATTTGCCAGCATTTGGCCCATATCCCTCTAAACCCTTCCTATTCACATACCCATCCAGATGCCTTTTAAATGTTGTAATTGTACCAGCCTCCACCACTTCCTCTGGCAACTCCTAAGTTGTGGGTTAGGCGAGAAAATGAGTTAAGTAGAAGGATCAGGGTCAGAGTTTGCAAAGAGCAGGAGAAGGGACGCGTTGCAAAGCAAACAGAGATGCTGTCAATCAGTTGGAACTTTAAAACAAGGAGCCAAGCATTCCCTCACACAAACACACACACACACACACACACACACACACACACAGAGTCACACATTGACGGAGCTGCAGAGAGAGATGGCCTTCCATCTGCTGCAGATCTCGGAGCAGGACAAGCTGCTGGGTAAACCGGCCTTCAAGGTGCTGGGGTCCCTGGTGCTGGCCACCGTCTTTTGGGGCTTGCAGGAGATGGCCGAGGTTGGCTTCCAGTGCCCCTGGCTGGCCGGTTACAACGAGGTCTACGGTGTCTCCTTCCTGCTGGTGCCCGCCCTGGTGCTCACCCTCCTCGGCGTCTTCCTGCACCGTGAGTGCCTGATGGGCTGGAGGGGGACAACGGCCAAGGGAGAGGGGTGCCCAGCCCAGCAGCCCCCTCCTGCCTGTGCACCAGGCTCCTGGAGGGTGGTTACCTCGCTGCGGGTCTTCTATCACGCCTGGGTGTGGATCATCGTGGTGCTGTTGGATGGGGACTGCTACACCTGCGTGCAATACTTCCTCCGGTTGCATGGCCCCAGCTCCAACTCCAACCCCGGGGAGGATTCCGAGCTCGTCCGCGTCCTGCACTTCGAGTCTCGGGTGAGTTTGCTGTCAGGGCTGGGAGGGCACCATTTCTCTCAGCTGCAAGGCCATTCGCCCCCACCCCATGCTAGCCCTTGTGTAGCCTGCCCCTACCCCACCACCTCCACCCCAGTCTCTCCTGTACCCTCCTGCACTGGAAGCCTTGTTGCCTTGCTTGCAATGCACAGTAATGCCAACAGTGTGGGTCCAAATCCCGCACCACATCAGGGGATCTCAAAACGCGTGCACACACTCTCACACTCACACACACACGCACCTTCACGCACACACACTCACACTCACACAAACACAAACGCACACACAGACACACTCACACACACATACACTCACACTCACTCACACACACACACACACACACACACATACAGGTACACACACACACACACTCACACACATAGACACACACACACACATACTCAGACACACAGACACAGATACACACACACACTCACACACAAACACATACACACACTCACACACAGACACACTCACATCCACACACACATACACACACACACTCACACACACACTCACATACACGCATACACTCAAACACACATCAGGCCTTGCCATCACATGTGCTGCTACCCACACATAACCCATTGTCAGCTACTATGTGGTCAAGGAGCGACTGAGATGTAAAAATGAGTGTTAATGGATGTGAAAGGGAGAATGTGTCCACACTGCTCAGGGCACAGTCAGCAAGACCGGGATTGTGTGAGCAAATGGAAGAAAACTGAAGAAGGCAAACCAGGGCAGGACTTGCGCTGTTAATGGTAAAGCTCTAGGAGTGTTGCCAAACAGAGAGACCGAGGGGTGTAGGTGCATAGCTCCTTGAAAGTGGAGTTTCAGGTAGACAGGGTGGTGAAGATGGCATTTGGTACGCTTGTCTTTATTGGTCAGTGCACTGAGTAGAGAAGAGATAGTAAGAACTGCAGATGCTG